AAGGTTGGCTAAGCCTGCCGCCGAGGCTAGTTGGTGCTAATGAAGGAGGCACAGACCGACCGGTGTGTACTTTGCCACTTAGCGGGTCCTGTCGTGCCTCGACCCCGAACCGTATACACGTTGCGCTACGCTCGCTGTGCAACGCCGTGTCTCTCTCCCTTTTTCTTTCGCACCACCTATTACGAAATTCTGCCGACCGAGAAGTAGGCGTCCTTTGTTCCGGATAAGCAACGGGGAAAAGGAAGGGCAGACGTTTTACAGGTGCACCAAACTCCGCGCAATTTTATTCCCAACCAATTCGTTCTATCCATCCTCTTCTTATATATACTTCGCGTATACCTCTTTGTTTTCTATTTACCGACGTACGACGACGAGAAAGCAGCCGAGAGAGTTGTCCTCTCGAAGGAAGAAGAAAGCATTTTCAAAATTAAAAGGACGAAATTTCGTAATTGGAGGGAAGGGTTCCATTTATCTCTCGAATAGCAATACCGTCTAAATTCACTTCCCTCGAAGAAAAGAAAAAAAGAATTGGTAAATTTTTCGCTCACGAGATGGGGTTTCTTTAATAAGATGGAGACGTTTGGCCGTGTAGAACGATGACGTCACGATTATGAGTTTTTCTTCTTTGTTCACGGGCCACACGAGAATGGGTAGGTAAGCGCGATACGTGGAGAAAAGGAAGGAGGAAAGTCTGCAGGGTGGCCCATTTGCTGGAGCCTCGTTAAATTCAAGTGGTTCTCGTCGGGTGCCTTCCCAACATCGAAATCAAGAATGTCCCCGAACTGCCTCGTAAACTCCCTCCTCCCCTCCCCTGCCCTTCTCCCTTCCTTTTTACGTTTCGTTTTCTCTCACCGCCTTCTACCGGTCTTCGGAAACCAGAAAAAGCGCAAGAGGACTTAATCTGCGTTCCCCCCCTCCCAACGGTAGTCTATATATTCCCCAGGCCAATTAATCCTCCCACTTTTCTTAATTAATCGAATTCACCTTTCCGGCCCATCCGTCCGCAGCGACATCCCTCTCGAGGCCGCCTCGCTCAATTTGTTCTCTTCACCTCGATCGTTAAACGTCGTATCTTATCTGGATGCGCAAAAAAAAATCCTTTTCTGAAAAGGATTAACGAAATCGCGCGCATTTTATTCGTCACGTTTCGGCCGAGTGGATAGGTTGGCGCTACCGATCGAATCAAATTCTATCCGAGGAGGAGGAGGAGGGAAAGAAATTTAATATCTGTAATAAACGGTTTGAAAAAAATCGACCCGATTCGTTAGCAATTGGTCGTAAACGTATCGAAATATTTTTATCGATAGCCCGTAATAAAACCGAATATCGTTGTTTTCTTTTCCAACTTGATAAAAACTTCACGAAAATGTATCGCATTAAGTATCGTTTAAGCCGCTATCGAAATCGGGAATTGCCCGAATCGCCGAATTTAAAAATAGGTTGGGCGAAATGCGGGAATACGGAAATATAATGGGCATTATCAACGATAAACTTGAGTCGCGAGTATGGCAAACAAGTTGGAAACTATCGGTAAAATTTTCCCTCTTCCGTTTCGCGACGTCCGCTTTCCAATATGAAACACGCGACACATACACACACACACACACACACATATATATATACATATACCTACCTGGTAGCGGCGGAGAAAAGTACGACGATAACAACCTGACACTAATACCACCGACTACTCCCAACACGCTACGTATGTACGCTTGTTTGCTCGTTCCAGTTAGCCATTATCAAACTCCTATACTTCCGATACCTAGCAGTCGTCGTGCAGAAGCAATCGCGACGAAACTTGGACGTGGTTCCTTTCGAAACGATTCCTTATCGTTATCGAGTAAAAGGGAAGCGAGCGAGATCGTTGCAATAGTAAGCGATTGCTGGAGTGACGGAGCGTTACTTGCTAAACTTGCTAGACGTACGATCGTCGTCGGAGACAGGCGTCTCCACTCTTCTTCCAAGTTTCTCGAGCCCGTGAACGGTACAGTTTCTAGGGAGAGAGGGAGAGAGGGAATCTGTCGTCGAGCATCGATTCTCTTTCTACAGAATTTTGAATCTGAAATTAAGGACAGCGTCGATCGGGCAATCTTGGATAAAAATGCAACGTAAATGGTACGTGGTATCGTAGGCGAAGGCGAAGGAGCAGAGGGATGAATCGTTTCGCTTCGAACCCTCTGTCTTCCGTTCCCCGAGTTTCTCCCCCTCTCCCTCGCCGCTGTTTCCTCTGATCGGAGCCGCCACGAGATTAGAGGCTGCCAAATGAATTAAAAGCCAATTTTAATCAAAAGCGGGCACCGGCTTTTAGGCACGATTACCCCCGATAATAACTGGTAGGATGGGCCAGCGCATAAGTGGGAAAGAGCGAGACAGAAGGAAAGAAGAATGGATCCCATATATTACTTCTACGTGCTCGTCGCGATACAGGAACCGATTCTCCGTTCGTTATAGGTTCGCAACTAATAGCTTCTTTTCTCTCTCTCTCTCTCTCTCTCTCTCGCTCGCTCTCTCGCTCGTTCGCTCTCTACAAGGACCGAAATACCTCGTCCAAGATATCGTCGATTTGTCGCGAAGGAATCCACCATCGCCATCACCATCGTTTCGCCGAGTTTTAAATTAAAAACGAGTCGAGAAGATGTTTCTTTCTTTTATTTAACGGATTCGAAGAAACGGGTATGACGATCGGTTGTACGATCGTGGATGCGTAGAAAATTTTCGTATTTTTTCGCGAGGCGAATAACCAGCGGGTTGAGAACCACTGGAGCGCCACAATTACGCGGCGTCGGCGTTATGAAAGCTATAATATGACGCGAAAGCGAGTAGGCCGGTACCGACCGCGCAAGAAAAGAAGGAAAAAACGGTGTATAACCGCGGTTCTCGTTATAAAGCTGGCGCGTTATAATAGCGATCCCGTCGTTAACACCTAAACGCACGATTGGCCAACGCACGGTGGATCGCCCTCCGCGGTGAGAAGCATCCGGCGTGAACGCGCACCAGATTACAACGCCGCGCAAATGAGAAGAATACATAACCTATACCGGTTGTCTCCCATCTGACCGGTCGAAACTGTGACAGGTGAAGCCCCTGATTTGCTCCACTGACGCGATAATCGTGCCTCTCTTCGTGCCCACAACAATAATTAAATTCCAACCCGAATCGTTTTTTTTTATTTCTCCCTCTCTCTCTCTTTCTCTCTTCGTTCTTTCAGATGAGATATCGCGTACGATATCGCGATCGTTCGAGATGCTACCAGTCATTTAAGAAGATTGAAGTTCCTCGTAGACCGATTACGTTCATTTAACGTGATAAAAATGTCACGGGGATCGATGTAATTACAACTATTATCCGACGAATGCCACTCTCTGCTTTCCAATCGGACGATAACGAAAGGGTAATTATTATTGTTCGTCTCGTTCTCCAATAACCCTTGTTATCGAATTCGACGTGCGCACGAATTACACGCGTAAAAATCTATCTTTCTCGATGGAATATACACGGAAAGTATGGGAACAATTTTTAATTTTTAAACCGCGGCAAGTTAATTATCTTTGGAATCCGCACCGACACCGAGCAGGAATTCACGAAGCCGCTTCGTAGCCCGGTCGGCAGTTAAGAGTCGAAAAGCTGAAGGACGCTCTCACGGTGTCTGAAAGGTTGGTGCAGCGCGAGTCAAGTCGGTTCATTTCGCGAATGGAGCTTGAGTAATCGCCACGAGAAAGAGAGAGAGGAGAGGAACGGAAGGAAAAAGTGGAGGCAGCAACGGCAGCAACAGCACCGGTGCCACCAACCGATGAAAGAGGTGGACCAAGGTGATGGATCTCGGGGAGGTGCAGACGCGGCGCAGCGTGCGGCGCGAAAACTGGCTCCTCTGTTTGCACAAGCCTTCTTCCCTCCTTTTAGACCTTCCTTTTCTCCCCTACCTCGTCCGTGAAAGTCAGAAAAGGAGCCGCCTCGCGCTCACGCCACGGTTAGGGCGGACAGCTTCTTCCTACTCCTCTCCCCGTTACGGCCGTTCCTTTCGGAATTTCAAGATTACGCGAAATCGCTATTGGAAAAACGGAGATTACATATACGCCACGGTTGAAAGGCGAATTTAATATATTCCAAGGATCTCCACACCGTGATTGTATTGAATGCAACAAATCTCGGTAAACAAGCGAATAATTGAATAATAAATTCAACTATGCTTCTACGTTTTGCATACGTTTCGCGTATTTTCATAAATTTTAAAACCGCGCATTCCATTGTTATTCCACCGTGCGTATTCTTCGACAAAAATTATTACTTAAGAATAATAATTTGACTTCGATCTTCATCTAGATCGCCATTACGAATTTAATATCACAGACGGAAACGATAACATTTTTGAAACAAATTGTCGTGAAACTACTTCTTCCTGCGTTTCGATAACGATCGATTCTCCTCGCGGGAAAACATTAAGAGCGTTATTAGAGCGTTATCGAGTTTCCTCTCCCGATATCTTAAACTCGATTTCGATACGGGAACGACCACGAACTCGGATCCTCGTAAATAAGCAAGAAAGTACGAGTTGGTCCGGACAAGAGGCAATAGCGAGATAAATGGCGTCTAGTCGAAAACAATCGCGACGAAACGAGACAACGCGATCGCTTTTTCTTTTTTTATTTTTTTTTTTTTTACTTCTGGTTTCTTCAGACGGCTATCTCCCGCGGAAATAGAGGGAGTCGGGTTATTAATCGAGGAAGATAAAAGTTCGAGCGGGGCCCAGGGTGGTAGCGAAAGCGGGCGGAGAGATAAGTCCCCCTGACCCTAGGTCGATCGATAAGCATCGCTATAAATTGAGATGTTTAGTGGCCCAGCTTTGGACGTTTATTCGTTCGAAAGAGTAGCTACACCGATTCCCCCCGTTCGGAATCCTTTTCAGTCTTTACGAGACTATCGATCGGAAGAGATAATGTCACGGTCGAGCGCCTCCTGGTGTCGGAGGCCGGACTACTCGATTCGATTCAATTAACAGATCGACCTATTCTCTACGATGACCACACACGTTGCGACGATGAATTTATTCGAAAGCCGTTTAAATGCCGATGTCGCGCGGTTGCCCTCGTTTCGAATAGTCGACGATAAACGAGCAACTCGACCTATTATCTATTAATAAACTTTTTACCTTTCGCCATTTTATCCTATTATTTATTATCGCGTATTTTCTTAAATACGTAACGTACGTTCTGATGTCTTAGCAGAAGGTTAGAATCTCGTGAAGGATTCGTGATTCTCGGGATTTAAGGATTTAAAACGGATGTAAAAACGAAAGCGAGCAACGGTGTTAATCCGATTAATGCAATTTTACTTACGGTAAGGGGCATTGTGATCGGTGCGTTCCACGGCCTTGATCAAACGGCCCATCACGGTAACATTGCCGCTGCTGCAAGTCGAGTAGAGACTCACGGAGCGCACCATTGCCGGCACCGCCCCGCACATCACCACCTGCAATCCACCAATAATTTTACACACCTTCGTATATTATACATCGAACTTTTTCTTTCTTCTTTCCTCGAGACAACTCGTAAATTATGACTTAGCTGTACGTTTATCGATTAAATTCCTCTCTTTTTTTCTTTTTTTCTTGGGAAAAAAACAACACAAAGAGAGTTCAAAGTTCGAAATTTCAAACGTTTACCTGGAAAAATATTATAAATCAATTCGATGAAAATTCAGGAATCGTGTTTCACGCTCCGATATTTGAATTCCGCGAATAACGATACAATTGTAGAAAATAATTTCGTCGTAACTCCTGATGAAGTCGAGATAAGAAGATCGGAATAACAGCATCAGGATCGTATAATCGATTCTCGGTGTTCGAGAAAGAATAAAAGGGGAGAAGGGGGAGGGTTAGAGGATAGGAATTCGCGAGGGTTGTTCTCAGTTCGACGACCAAACGCAGAATCGTTAAAGACATCGCAACTCCTTCACGGCTCACGGGAGAAGAACATTTTTACGACAGATTCGCATATCGTGGGATCGAATGATTCGTCGAGCCGTTGGCGCGGATCCTTTTTGCGATTCGTTGGCGGGAATAAAAATCCACGGGCATCCACGAAGGAAGACGGAGAGGAACAGTCGTTACGGCGGAGACCACAAAAGATGTATACCGACAAGATTTGTTAACGAGCGAACACGAGCTGTCCATTAATGGTCGTAGAATCTGACACTTCTTTTATTTCACGAATGGCGCCGTAACAACGTTACGATAGCAAAACTGCGCATCTTCTCCGGATCGAGCTAGCACTTGGATATTCCTTAAATCGTAAAATATTTCTATTTTATTTTAAATACAATTCTCTGTCTATTTTCACTTAAAACGAATATATATATATACGTATATATGTTATTTCTTATTCGCTCTGTTTTAAATTATTTATCTCTTTAAGGTTAAAAACGATTCAACCTACGAACTTGTGCGTATCGTAAGAAGAATTTATTACACCGTTTCAATTTCTCCTCGAAATCGACCACGGTTGAAAGTACCACGGAGTAAGACTGACCACTATTGAACTCGTTGCTTTCGTATCCTTTAAACGTTAAACGTACGGCTGTGGTCGAGGATTTTTTCCAACGAGGCGAGGTTGCTGCACGCGATGCATTTTCACGTAGCCGCATTGCAGTCTTGCAACTCTCGTTTTTCCGAATTAATTTCGTCGTCGTTATTGCGACTCGATTACGATTCGAGCAAAAGTCTAAGATAAGAAGAACACGATAAAATCATTTTTCAATCGCAAATCGAACATCTTTGAGATTCGATTCGACGCGTCGAATCGTTTTATTAAATTCTCACCTATCGTACTTGTATCGTTCCTCGATACATGTATACGCGAGATACACGTATCAAGGCCGTGTCGATTTATAAGAGTATCGTGTCGCTCGATAATCACAACGATAAACGCATAATCAGAGTTTAACGAATATCGATATTCTTCCTCGACTGACTGTTGTAATTTCGAGATATCGAGAGGATTATTAATCTGATCCTTAGCTGCTAATATTCCAGAATTTTCACGAGGTTGAGACCACGCCGAACATCGTCTATCATTTACATAAATTACATAAATTGGAAAATTAATTTCATCGATATTTCGTATAACAAAAAAAAAAAAGAAAAGAAATACCGATCGATATGACGGGCTCGAAAGTTCAAGTACGGAGGAGGACTTAGGAGGAAAGAAAAGTTTGCCGCATAATTTAGTCCACGAGGCTGGAAACAGGGCATTAAAACGAGAACAGATGTAGATAGCCTCGTTTCTCGTGCGAAATGGAGACCCAAATTGCAAGGTAAATACCACTGGCATCGTACCGAATGAAAAATGTGTATAAGCGTTGAAATCGCGCTGGTTTTTCGTAGAACACCGAGATCCAAGAGACGAAAAAGTTCGAAAGGAAATCATCATCGACGAGGAGAGGCTCCTCCTTATCAATTCATATTAAAACGTAATCGTCGATCGGGTAATAACAACGAGCTGGTGGCACGCGATTCGGGCAAAGGTTCGCCCCTCTTTCGTGCAACGGGTATCTTCGATCTGACCTAGTCACTAGGTTCATGTACAAAGAGCTGGCACGTATCCGCTTATGTATCCGTCGAATAAGTATGCAAGTTTACGGATTCCGCACGAACGTGGCCAAAGCCCTCGTTCAAATTTTACACGGCTCGTTAGAGGCAACGTATCTAGGGCAGCAGTATTTCCCTTAAACTATGAACATACAGCTGAAAACACTGCTGGCACTTCTCGAATTCTTTTTTGAATATGATTCTGGAACAATCGTATCTCCCCTCGTATACAGATGTAATATGCGGGATATACGTATATTCACCGTGGAATTATTTTTATATCCAGGATATCGATAGTTTCGTTGATAAACGGCATCTATATATCCCTTGTTTCGAACATGCTTTTCTTTTTTTCCCTTTCCTTTTCGAGAATTTTTATATACGAATAATATGAAAAAGAAGTTTTAACTTTTCCAATATTATCTATCTTTTATTTTCATAAAAAATAATAATAGTTGGTTGAACTTTCGTTAAAAAAAGAAGAAAGAAAGAAAGAAAGAAAGAAAGAAAGAAAAATATAAAGTTGTTTTTGAAAACGTCACTCACCATCAGGAGGCACAAAATCTTCGCTAAAACGGCAAGCTGTGGTAACCTGCAACAAACGAAGAATACATCCGCGTTAATTATCGCTTTTCTTCGTCTCAATTGGTAAACGAGTAAGAATTATTATTAAATCTGGCGGCACTCGTTGCGATATTTCGATTCGTGCCGCGCAATTTAATCGTTCGCGATCCCCGCCAAGTGATTTATCGTATGCAAATAAATTTCTCCTGATTACGGTGTATCCACCACCCATAGGAGGTTGCTGTTAGTGCTAGTAGAAATTGAAAATATAGGATAATATAGTAACGGAACGCGTCTGACAGATAAGGAAAACGTATATGTACGAGATAATTAGCGGTACGACTAAATTACAGCGGACAGAATTGTAGGCTACAGCTAGCTTCACAATTCAATCTTTCTTCCGAGGAAGGCAGTAATTAATATTTCTTTGGTCTCGACGAGACGTCTAAAACGCTGCCCTCTCCTCCTTATATACAGATGTAATTTGTATATTTCTTTTATGACACGCGTTTGACAGGCAACACTGTAGTGTTTTTCTCCATAATGTAATAACTTTTATACCCGAACGCATAGCTAATCGGATTAAAAGAGCGACGCGTCGTCGTTAAAGCTTGAATTCGTGAAGTTGATTTAATTTAGACAGAGAAGGGGAAAAACGCGGTATCTTTAATACTATCGTTCGAAAGAATATACGAAATAACTCGTCAATTTTCCTCTTTCTTACGCACTGTCGCAACGACACTCAACATTTTGCCCACTTCGACGAATATCTCGAGAACAGTGTAAACACACGATCACCCGGAAGCATCGTATAATTTCGCATCAATGGCTGCGTTATCGGTTTAATAAAGACTCGGTTTCACTTTCCACGGTCTATAAACTTTCTCGTTGATCACTCGTCGTCCTGAAACGTATTTAATCGAGAATCAACGATTCGATTGCGTCGCGTCGATAGATTATTTCTACCTTTTATCTTTATTACATCGGATTTACAAAAGGAGGAAATTAGGAAAACGGTACATTTACGTATATATACTTTATATATATTAAATTTTAATATGGCGAAGATTGGCGGCGCGGGTCGTAAATAATAAGCAAGAGTCGCACACGAGATACATGTGGTGAGCCACTGGAAGGAGTTGCGTAATGCGAATGCATCTCGTATTACAGAGAACACAGGTGACCGGCGAGTGGAGCGGCAGCAATCGCGTCGCCAATTCGCTCGTTTTAATTCGGTCGAGCGGGTCGATCGGCTGGCGATCGAGAGACGAGCGGGGATGGACCGAAAAAACCGTTCTCCTTTCGTTTCGCCATCATCCCGCCCACCTCGCTCCAATAAAATCCACGATTTGCGCCCCGAGAAAATTCCATTGCCACGCCAATGCCGTTAAACCGTTTACTTTATTTTCCCCGCGTTCACTGAATCTTCGTAGAAAACGATAGTAAACCCTTCTATCCGATTGCCCGCCAATCGGTTACCTCTCCGCACTCGATGCAGGTAATTTCATTTTCTTGGAAACCTCTACTCTTTTCCGCGAGATGCATCTTCTTACGATACGCGATTGAAAATCGCTCGATACGACAAAGAGGATTCGTCTCTCGAGCAAAGAAGAGTGAAAGAGTATCGTCGAAATATCTTCGAGAATATTTTCGTATTTTCGTATTTATTGAGAGAGAGAGAGAATTTAATCCGTTCTCAAATTATAAATATACAGACATTAAGTAATTAAAATCGAAACTCGTTATATCGAGTCGTAACGCGTGGAGCGTGGTCGACTCGAGTTTCGTCGTGGTTTAATTGTGACTACTACATCGCCTCGGAAACTTAAAAACGAAAGCGTTTCAAGTCGAACGAAAAACGTGCATCTCGTTTGCAAACAATTTGTCATAAATTGTTATGCGAATTCGTGAAAATGTTTTAAAAATATGACGAAATAAAATGTGAAAGTACGACAAATGATATTTATTATCGCGAATATCAACATTTGGAATCGATGCGGAGGAATGCGACTATAAAAAGACGATGCGGCGAAAAAGAAAAATTTGAACCATCCACTCGTGAAATACCTAATTCGAGTTATCGAAAAAATCGTGTTCCATCGACGGAATTTTTTCGAAGCTTTCTATCCAAAGTGTTTTTTTCTTTTTTTTTCTTTCCTTTGTTTCTTTACTTGTCGCGATATCGGGTTCGCATAATTGCAACATTATCAACGTTTTCGCTGACAGCGCAGCGTTAACCCATCTTATTTTTAACGAGCATGGATCGAGACGCGTGTAAAAGAATATACTTCTCGTCGTGTTTCTATAAGCGACGATAATCCGTGACATCGTAAGGTGTGGGGTACATTAATATTGAAATTTCTCAGCGGAGAGATTACGTAACGGAGAAAATGTTAAAACCGTTGGGCATCTGATTGGAAGCGGGGCGGAAGGGGGGAAGAGGGTGCTAACACGAGGAAAATTTCTAACAGCGTAGACTATGCGGCACCAGTCGCGATAAACAGCGGCACGCTCTCCGTGAAAAATCCAGTATTTCCAGTATTTCTAGTATCTCGAGGAGAAGAATCGTCGAGGCCGAACGCAAAGGTGGGTCTTCGGGGCGATTCCGCCATTACGTACGAATGCACTTGCATGACGCGCGTCACGAGATTCGAGGCATCTCGTTGAAACGACACGCGCAACCGCGATCTTCCATCCAAATAATTTTCTCCTCTCTAACGACGAATAATTTTAAATCGATCGTATCGATCGTGGAGGAAAACTTAATATCGTAGCGATAATTCGTGAGAGAATAGGGAATAGGAATGGTAATAATTTTAAATCTGTCACAACTCACCAAATCGCCTTAAACATATCTGCGCGTCACCACTCCGAAGCGTGGTCATCTCAATCCATGCGCTAAGTAAGAAGAATCGTGACACTGATCCGACGTAAACGCTGAAATATTTTCTTTTGATCGCGTATCCAGCAAATCACCGAACCAAACTAACTTTTTATTAGATTTGTAAAGGAGTCGATAGAATTTACGATCGATAAATTTCACAGCGTGGAATAACGTTCGTTCGATTAACGACGCGTTAAACGTTTAGACGCGGCGAACGTTTTCGAAACACCTTTTTAAACGTAATAAAAAAGGAAGGAGAGAAGAAAAACGGGTCGTAACTGCTACATCACTCCGCGGCGCGGCGATATCCCGATCGATTCGGGAAATCCAATCGGCGATAAATTCGGCGATGCTCGAACGAATTCTTCTACGATATATCGAGATTCCCTGAGAATTCGGATTAATCGGGATTACGTCATATCGAAATACGGTGGCGCAATGGATAAACGCGCGCGGCCGTATCTTTGTGGAATCCTCCTGTCGAAACGGAGGGTTAAAACGGACGAACCGGTTTGTCAAAGACGCGTCGCGACTAGATCGATTACGACTAGAAAATTGAACTTGAAAGCGTTTAGGCGGAACGGAATCGAATTGCGACCACTCGCGCTCGGATACGTTTGACTAGATCGCGATCGAGAAAGGCGAAGAGGAGGACGAAGAGAGAGTGGCGCGATTTGTTGTCACTGGCGCGAGATCAGCACGATGAATGTTGGCGAGGGTACGTACGATCCGGCGTGACATCCCCGGCCACGTGGGGACTCATCTAAAGGGGATTTTAGTGGGGATATTTGTCGCCTACCGCGTGAAAAACTGCCAACACTTGAATAGGCCCCGGCTCGTCGATGAAAAACGCGGCTACCGACCCGACGCCGATGGCTCTCAGCTGGACACCGCCTGTCGGCTAAATGCCCCGCGTCGATGTCGTGGATCGCCGTCTTTTCATCCACCCCAACATCCAACCGCACCGTCTTGGTGGTCATTCCCTTCACAGCCCTTCCATTTCCCCTTCCATTTTACGAAACTCGCGCGCGAACCGCGTCTCGCACGTAGCTCTAGGTGTGTCTCGCGCCACGACGCGACGAGTAAAATCGTCGACGTTGAAAAATTAAGGGAGAAGAAGATCGAAGAGATTTTATCGCGGAATAACATATTATTACGGTTTTATATACGTGTGTGTATATATATATACATATATACATATCGTGTATACAACTGCGACTATTTTCCTCGTGAATACTTCGAACGCCGTGCATATACGTATACGGTACACGTTTACCATGACTAACGACGATAATTTCTCAGCTTGTAATTTATTTATTACTTCCATGTAACGCCCTTTAGTCGCACGGATTTCCCTCGTGACAAATTGATCGGTCCCCGCAATGTAAGCCGTAGCATCGGGAAAAGCGAAGAAAAACACGGACGTCTCTATTGAAGAAACCACGAAATTTACTACCTTTCCAGCAGGCGAGGCGAGGCGAGGCGAGGCGAGCACGGCTCGTGCTCGCCTCCGGCGTCCGACCCACCGAAAACTCACCTGGCGTCGCGTCGACAATGCCGAAACTCCGGAATGTTTCTTAAATAAGCGTGGCAAGTTGCGACAAATCACCGTGGCCGACAATGAATTTCAGGAGGCGGCGGTAAATCCTCGTGTCCGATCGTTGCGCCGACGCGCGCCGCGTTTCAACGTCGACGAGTAACGCGATTGATCGGACCTCTATAAATTCCACCGCTGAAAGCCCACCACAAATCATTCCTCCAGACTCAATTTGCGAGCCGAGATCGGATATCGTTCGTCGATTCGTCGTCGATCGTGACAGATTCTCGATATCCAACGTCGCGTAGGGGAAAACTGGGTTGCACGCTTTTCCACCTTCCTTTTCGTTTTTTCACGCGTCTAAAAATCGTTACCCCCTCTCCAAAATATATTTCTATAACTTTTTTCCAAATTCGAGAAACGCGAACGTTATCGCTAGGACTTGTCGCGTCGTAAAACTCTAATCTCTTTGGCTCGAAACGGTCTTAAAGTCTTTTCACGCTCGAATTTATCACTCTCTCTCTCTCTTTTTTTCTTCTTCTTTTTTACCACGAAACATTCTAGTTTACGATCAACGCGCTTCTTTCTTTCGCCATTTAAATATCAC